TCACTGGCTGAGTGTTAAGGTACACACAGGTCGTCTCAGGCAGAGTGAAGCCACCATCACATGGGGGTTTCTTGTCAAAACAAAATCGCATCAACATTTTATTTCCCACCGGCCGTCTTAAAAAAATAAAGCATCCTTCAGGGCTGAGCCTCTCATATATTAGCATACAGACTTGGTCATGTATATGCGTGGTGGGGTCGGTTCATGCTAATGATGCGTGACCATGATCGACCCCCCTGGTGTAGCGGGCTGCTTCACTACACCCACCACACCCACAGGCCTAGCTAGTGTAGTGCTGGGAATGGTTCACTACACCCACCACACCCACAGGCCTAGCTAGTGTAGTGCTGGGAATGGTTCACTACACCCACCACACCCACAGGCTTAGCTAGTGTAGTGCTTGGAATGCTTCACTACACCCACCACACCCACAGGCCTAGCTAGTGTAGTGCTTGGAATGCTTCACTACACCCACCACACCCACAGGCCCAGCTGGAATAGTGCTGACAGTTATCTAACCTTTGACTCTTATCACTTACGGGCTCACCATAGCCCGTGCTTCATGGACATTTCGTTCTGAGTAGCTAAATCTAAAACAACAACAATAACTTTTGGCCCCTGTTAGACATTTAGTCCTTATCTACTTCCGCAATATCTTCTAGGATCTTAAATGTCGTAATCATATCTACCCGTTCCTGTCTCTTTTATAGCGTAGTGAGATTCAGTACTCGGTATTCCATCGTACTTGAATACTCTGCACTTTGTGACAAGAAGCAAAAATCTAACAAAATATGGTCCCGTATCAAAGATAATACTTATCTTCTAACATGGTAATTAAAGATGTCAGTATTCTGTTTTATAATAATAATAATAATAATAATAATTTTTATTTAGGTAAGGTACATACATAAAGAGATTTTACAAAGTTTGTTGGGTTAATAGATAGAGCTAGTACATACAATGCCTAAAGCCACTATTACGCAAAGCGTTTCGGGCAGGATAGCATTAACATTTTAGAATGTTAAGTGAGTAAATCTAGCTCCTATTTTAAATGAAAACACAGCAAGTCCAACATATAAATAACATACATTAAACACATATAAATAACATACATTAAGCAAAGACAACTCGTCATATTAGTGTAACACAGGAAGCAAACCCTACAGCTTAACATAGCACGTCGAGGCTCCAACTTTACAATAAATTAGGATAATGACACAGCAAGCTAAGCTTTCAATTTACTGTTATATTACAGCAAATCGAACCTCAATCTTAGCACAACGAATAAAACCTCAATCATAAAACATCAAGCCAAAGCCACCACCTCAACATAGGTGTAAGCCCAACGTCTGCACTGTCACACAAGAGTTGCCTCCCAACAGGATAAGCCACTCACACACAACCACAAAGATGGTAATCCAATAATCCAAGAAAACATTTGCCGTCTGAATATTTAATCAATATCGACTACATTATTGGCAGACGAGTTGCATGAGCCACGTGAGGCGCCGTGTGACCCACAGTCTGAGGCATCGTTACTCTGCTACGGCAGCCAGTCTTGCAATGCTAAATGAGGATGATATTTGGGTATTTGAAGGTGAATATAAATTATAAATTCGGTATTGTAAATTGAAGAGTCCATTGAATTCAATGTAAATTGCTCTATTGTATTAAAAATGTCACTAATGTCATTTTTGGTTAAGAGAATTGAGTTTCCCGGATAGTGTGAAGGAGCTAAATTTAACACAAACTTTCCTGGAAATTAAGCGAAATAGAGGGACATGGTCGAGATAAATAAAATACTCAGAGGAATCGATGGAATACCATGGTTGAACAGTAGCGGAACGATGGCACATGTACGGACGAACAGTATGATAGAAACAATTCTTAAGTGCAATGACAGTCGGCAAGTACACCGTAGCTGCCGAGGAGAAATAACGGGGTTTACGTAAGTCCACAAATTAAAAAGCAGATATGAACAACAAAAAATGGGTAAGCGTTACCGCACAAGTGGCGCCCAGGAGGTAAAATGTGGTGATGAAAATAATTACAATTAGGGCAGCAGAGGTCTTAAGCTGCAGCGTTGTACAGAGTTTGAACTTGGTAACACTTTAAGACTATCACATACTTGTATATCCGTGGCATTGATGCCGACCACGTTCATATATATCCAAGGAAGGTTCCTACAGATATACATGTTGTAGATAGATAACTCAAGATAACTCAAGATAACATGTTGCTCATTCAGGAAACGATTACTGCACCTAGAAATCACAATAGCGTGATGCATCAAATGAACAAATCCACAAGGGATTTGTGGATTTGTTCATCCCCTTGTGGATTTGTTCATTTGATGCATCACGCTATTGTGATTTCTGTGTGTAATGAAGTAAGGGCGAAGAGGTAGAACGGCCTATTGACATAGCTCGAGTGCATGGGAGAGTTGTGTAAAACCCTGGTTTGTGTCTCGGAGAGGCTGCAGGATCCAAGTAAGTTCAGTAGAGCTTCTGGTTTCAACTCGTTTGACCATGTCGTAGCTCAGTCGATTAAGGCACCGTCTGCAATGCTCTCGGACGTAGGTTCGAATCCTCGTCATGACTTGTGGATTTGTTCAACGATTACTGTATAGCAGCGTCAAGTCGCTCTGCACGAAAGGTCTCCTCGCTACATTTTACAACCAAATGTATTATTGAGACACATTACATGTATATGCTCATAGATTTCATGGGAATAAATTGGATAAGTTTAGATTTAGGAAAGACTTGGGTAAATACTGGTTCGGTAACAGGGTTGTTGATTTGTGGAACCAATTACCGCGTAACGTGGTGGAGGTGGGGTCCTTCGATTGTTTCAAGCGTGGGTTGGACATGTTTATGAGTGGGATTGGGGGGTTATAGAGAGGAGCTGCCTCGTATGGGCCAATAGGCCTTCTGCAGTCACCTTTGTTCTTATGTTCTATCCATTTCGACATAAACTACACGAGAGTAATACAGTTCATGAACCTTCGCTTGGCTACAGATGAGAACTGGTTACAGTGAGGGTGTCAGCAGAGTGGGAATAATTATGTGAAGGATTTAATGTTCTCAGACCTGCAAGAAAAACATGTTTTTCACCCCCATTCGGTCCCAAGGGATTGAGAACGACCACTGGCTTGTTTTGAATGACACGAGCGTGTACACACGCACACGGAAACAAGTGCGTGTGTACACGCGCACGCGCGCGCACACACACCCTCAGAAAAACAGACAACAGGTCTGAAGAAACACCCGTGACAAAGGTGGTTAACTAACCTGGAAACACAAGTATGGTAAACATAGAGACCTTGAGGACAGCAGTAAACAGAACCCCTTAAACTAAGAGCAGGTAGCACAGAGAGGAACATGTAGGCACAAGAACACGGTGAAGGGAACAGTCTTAAAGCCCTAGAGAACGCAACAATGGTGTTAAATGATGCGAGATCTGAGCACCCATAACTCTGTGATATTAATCACAGAAAAGTGTACAAGCTCATGAAAGATCCCCATAGTGGAGACGGACTGTGTAGATCAAATTGAATGGACACTACAGTTTGGTATTTACTAAACGACCACAATACTGCCAATGCTACATTTAGTATTGACTTAAAATGGAGTGGATACTTGGATAAGAAGATCCATTTGGAGTCCCAGTGACCACTACTGGACAGTATTGAATTATATAGTCGAGCTGAAGAAGAGCAACAGCCTGGATAACGAGAGTTATCCAGGAGACCGAGAAAAAAAGAGAGACAAGAGAGACTACCTGAGTGGCGAGATACCTCCTTCAGGAGTCCTGTAATTGTGTAAATACCAATGTTTGTCAAATACACTGGTCGTCGGGGACGCTAAGCCCCGAAATCATCTCAAGATAACCTCTCAAGAAGGAGTCTGTTTGGTAGATACACTGACCGTCTGTTTGGTAGATGCACTGACCGTCTGTTTGGTAGATACACTGACCGTCTGTTTGGTAGATGCACTGACCGTCTGTTTGGTAGATGCACTGACCGTCTGTTTGGTAGATGCACTGACCGTCTGTTTGGTAGATACACTGACCGTCAGTTTGGTAGATGCACTGACCGTCTGTTTGGTAGATACACTGACCGTCTGTTTGGTAGATGCACTGACCGTCTGTTTGGTAGATGCACTGACCGTCAGTTTGGTAGATGCACGTGACCAATTGTTCTGCAATACTCTAAACTCCATCTAAGCTTAGCACAGATTATCTTCGAGTGAATTTATACCACTTTATGCATGGAAACTCTTGACCTATTTTGTTAAAGTAAAATATTTTTTTATCGTACGTTTCAACTATTGTCATTTAATTTTAAAACTGTATATTAAGTGTAATTACAGAGTAAAAATGCTCTTTTTTGAATATTTTTTTCAATTTAGTTTTATATTTTTCTATGTACAGGCGATGAGTCACAATAACGTGGCTAAAGTATGATGACCCAACCCGTTCTCGCAAATTTAATAAGTCAATATTGACTTATTAAATATGTGCATAGGTGACATACTTAACATAATAGTTTCCCTTGAAAAGCTGCATAGAAAACACCGACCTTACCTAACCTACTTAGTATGTTAAGATAAGCATCTTATTGCTTCGTAATTACAATTATTACCTAACCTATACCTATAATATGTTAAGTAACAAACATTGTAATTACGAAGCTATAAACTAATAAGTCATGACTTATTAAATTAGAAGGTTAAAAGAAGGTGAAGGGACGACGACGTTTCGGTCCGTCCTGGACCATTCTCAAGATCGACTTGAGAATGGTCCAAGAGGACGGACCGAAACGTCGTCGTCCCTTCACCTTCTAGTGTGTGGTCTGGTCATCATATTCTTCTATATTGAATGGCAGGTGACCTAAAAGTTATGCCAATAATTGCTTTACATTGACTATATTTGTATAACTTAAGTGAGTGTGGCGTGGTTATGGGCAACATGTGATGAAGACGCTGGCATGTGGCACTTACTGTTGTGAAGGTTCTCCTCCAGGGGGATGAGCAGCGGAATCACCACGTTCACCGCCATCTTGCACTCTGCAACAGCAACAACAGTAACGTTAACTTTCACATATGACTCCTTGAGACAATAACGGGAGCCGTCACCTGTAACGCAGTAACAATAACATTGAAAATCAACATATCACTGTAACAATGACATGTTGCAACACTGTCATTGCAACAGTCACATTATCTCCACTGGAGATAATTCCCTTCCCTCCTCCACTGGAGGAGGGAAGGGAATTATCAGGAGAAAGCGCCAAAGCCATTACGACTATATAGCACTTTGAAGGGCTCAAGATAAGTAAGGATTTGGGATGGGACGGGGGGAAAGGAATGGTGCCCAACCACTTGTCGGGGACGGTCGGGGATTGAACGCCGATCTAAATGAAGCGAGACCGTCGCTCTACCGTCCAGCCCAAGTGATTGGAAATACTGTTACTCTGCAACAAAAAGTCGAACCCCTGTGGGATATCATTCCGTATAACTCGTTTACCATTATGGAACGTAAGACAAATGCCACACTGATGCAATTTTTACTCTGAGTAAGAAATTAAAGTAGAAATGTGTGTGGCAAGACTGAGTAGAAAGTTGCCAGACAAGAGAGGCGAGACGCACAGAAAACTGGAGAGCAGAAGCAGCAACAAGTAAGAAACGTGGTAAAGCAGAGCGTTGTTTCCAATAGAGGCAACTGGGAGCCTTAACAAAATAATGTGTCAGCCACGAGTTCTTCCTCAAGTTACAATTGGGAAACAAAATACTGGAGTTATAAAACCGTAAAGAACATAAAAAGCGCTTACCCAAAACTTTTCAGATATTCTCTGCAGGCTGGGAATTTTGTTATTAAAAATGCATCTCTCTCTCTCTCTCTCTCTCTCTCTCTCTCTCTCTCTCTCTCTCTCTCTCTCTCTCTCTCTCTCTCTCTCTCTCTCTCTCTCTCTCTCTCTCTCTCTCTCTCTCTCTCTCTCTCTCTAAATATTATAAATATATATATATAACGGTTATGTTGAAGACGTCATTACAAGAAAGGTGACACGCCATGCAACCTCTTAAGAATCAACTAACACAACACCTGTGCCTCCTATTAGACTGTTTTAAAGGAACTTCTTTTCGACGGCTCATGAAACGGAGGAAAGTGTCCTGAAAGATATTATTGATAGGAACGTTATCCAAACAGACACAAATCAGAAGATATAATTAACAATTTACTACAAAAATAAGAAGACGGCCAACCTACTCATGAAGAACTCTCCAGACACCAAACAGAACGCCTTAAAAGAGACCAACGTCGTGTATGCCTTCACATGCCCACTTGGCGACTGTCAGCCCCCAGATCTCAGTATACAGATTCCTGAGCCTTCCGGGCTCTATCAAATCTACATTTGAAATATGCCTCCACCACATAACTACTTGCACACTATACTATGTGTGTGTGTGTGTGTACTCACCTATATGTACTCACCTATATGTGCTTGCAGGATCGAGCATTGACTCTTGGATCCCGCCTTTCTAGCTATCGGTTGTTTACAGCAATGACTCCTGTCCCATTTCCCTATCATACCTAGTTTTAAAAGTATGAATAGTATTTGCTTCCACAACCTGTTCCCCAAGTGCATTCCATTTTTCTACTACTCTCACGCTAAAAGAAAACCTCCTAACATCTCTGTGACTCATCTGAGTTTCCAGTTTCCACCCATGTCCCCTCGTTCTGTTATTATTACGTGTGAACATTTGATCTATTTCCACTTTGTCAATTCCCCTGAGTATTTTATATGTCCCTATCATATCTCCTCTCTCCCTTCTTTTCTCTAGTGTCGTAAGGTTCAGTTCCTTCAGCCGCTCTTCATATCCCATCCCTCGTAGCTCTGGGACAAGCCTCGTCGCAAACCTCTGAACCTTCTCCAGTTTCTTTATGTGTTTCTTCAGGTGGGGGCTCCATGATGGCGCGGCATACTCTAAGACGGGTCTCACGTAGGCAGTGTAAAGCGCCCTAAAAGCTTCCTCATTTAGGTTTCTGAATGAAGTTCTAATTTTCGCCAGTGTAGAGTACGCTGCTGTCGTTATCCTATTTATATGTGCCTCAGGAGTTAGATTGGGTGTCACATCCACTCCCAGGTCTCTTTCTCGAATCGTTACAGGTAGGCTGTTCCCCTTCATTGTGTACTGTCCCTTTGGTCTCCTGTCACCTGATCCCATTTCCATAACTTTACATTTACTGGTGTTAAACTCCAGTAGCCATTTCTCTGACCATCTCTGCAGCCTGTGTAAGTCCTCTTGGAGGATCCTACAATCCTCGTCTGTCACAACTCTTCTCATTAATTTTGCGTCATCTGCAAACATTGACATGTATGATTCCACTCCTGTAAACATATCATTTACGTAAATTAGAAAGAGGATTGGTCCCAGCACCGATCCTTGAGGTACTCCACTTGTTACTGTTCGCCAGTCCGACTTTTCGCCCCTTACCATTACCCTCTGGCTCCTTCCTGTTAGGTAGTTCTTCACCCATACTAGGGCCTTTCCACTTACTCCTGCCTGCCTCTCAAGTTTGTATAGCAGTCTCATGTGCGGTACCGTATCAAAGGCCTTTTGGCAGTCAAGAAATATGCAGTCTGCCCAGCCTTCTCTGTCCTGCCTTATCCTTGTTACTTTATCATAGAATTCTAAAAGGTTTGTTAGGCATGATTTCCCTGTCCAGAACCCATGTTGGTGCTTGTTTACAAACCCAATGCTCTCCAGGTGCTCAACAAGTCTTAGCCTAATTATTCTTTCAAGTATTTTGCAGGGGACGCTTGTCAGTGATACGGGTCTGTAGTTAAGTGCCTCCTCCCTATCCCCCTTTTTGAAAATCGGTACGACATTTGCCTCCTTCCAGCAACTGGGCAATTCTCCCGACATAAGTGACTCATTGAAGATCATTGCCAGAGGCACGCTGAGAGCCTGCGCTGCCTCTTTAAGTATCCACGGTGATACTTTGTCTGGTCCAACAGCTTTATTTGCATCCAGTGTTGTCAACTGTTTCATTACATCCTCTGCTGTCACCTCTATATCTGATAGTCTTTCATCTTGGGTAATCTCTTCTAACAATGGGAGCTGCTCAGGCTCGGTAGTGAACACTCCATGGAATTTTGCATTCAGTACCTCGCAGATTTCCTTGTCGCTTTCTGTATATGCCCCTTCTGTTTTCCTCAGTCTTGTCACTTGGTCATTTACCGACATCTTCCTTCTTATATGGCTATGTAGTAATTTTGGTTGCTTTTTCGCTTTGACTGCAATATCGTTCTCATAATTTCTTTCCGACACTCGTCTTATGTTAATGTAATCATTCCTAGCTCTGTTACATCTAATCCTGTTGTCCTCTGTCCTTTGTCTTCTGTACTTCCTCCACTCCCTCCTGCTTCTCACCTTTGCTTCCTGACACTGTCTATTAAACCATGGGTTATTATATTCCCTCCTGCTTTTTTTCTTTATTGTTGGAATAAATCTATCTTCAGCCTCCTTGCATTTCAATATGACTTGGGTCATCATACCTTGCACTGTTTTTCCTCTAAGTTCTTCCTCCCACTGCACTTCTCCCAGGTAGTCCCTTATCCCTCTGTAGTCCCCTTTTCTGTAATCAAGTCTCCTTTCCCGGACCTCTTGTCCTTTGGTCACAATTTTAAGCTCCATCATGTAGTCAAAGGCTAGGACACAATGGTCACTAGCTCCTAGTGGTATTTCATGTTCCAACTGCTCGATGTCTTCTACATTCTGAGTGATAATGAGATCTAATAGGCTGGGCGTATCCCCTCCTCTTTCCCTAGTATCTTCTTTCACATGCTGTGTTAGGAAATTCCTGTCAATAACGTCTACCAGCTTCGCTCCCCAGGTCTCCTCCCCGCCATGGGGATTCCTCGTTTCCCAATCTATCTCTCCGTGATTTAGGTCCCCCATGACCAGCAGCTTCGCTCTCATTCTATGCGCTAAAGTTGCTGCCCTGTGTGTGTGTGTGTGTGTGTGTGTGTGTGTGTGTGTGTGTGTGTGTGTGTGTGTGTGTGTGTGTGTGTGTGTGTGCGCGCGCGTGCGTGCGTGAGTGCACGTAAACAAACTAGAAGCATATAGGAGTCAATGTTCTAGGACCAAGCCTTTTAGACTCCTTCTGTAGCACCGTCCGCCTGGTCTGAATTACCCAAATGACCCATTAAGAATATTTATCTTGTCTATCAACGGCTACAGCGAAGTTCTCCTCGTTCGCGGGAAGACCAATTTATGCCTCCGCCAAAATGGTCGAGTCATAACGATGTTTTCTTTGTCCATCCCACTGTGCTAATCTATAAATTTCACATCATTATGTTTCAGATCTTCCTGGCCTCGTTTGGACGAACTATTCTGAAAACTGGGAACTACTCGCCTGCAATAAAATTCAATGCACTTCACCATCGTGTTCTTATCGTTCGTGTTTACTCTAATGATGACAAACTATAGGATATGATGCACAATAACTTTGGGAATGCGAATATGGAGATTATATAGTTAGAATAAGCTGGTGGTTGGTAAAGTGTGTGTGTGTGTGTGTGTGTGTGTGTGTGTGTGTGTGTGTGTGTGTGTGTGTGTGTGTGTGTGTGTGTGTGTGTGGGACTTGGGGTGTGTAACCCGTCAGAGGAAAGTATTGCTACAGACGATGGACGTATGTAACAGGAAGCAGTATGTGAAGATATGTGTCTGGCCTTGATGTGGCAGTGAAGTGATGATATGTCTGACCCTGGTGTGGCAGTGAAGTGAGGATATGTCTGGCCCTGGTGTGGCAGTGAAGTGAGGATATGTCTGGCCCTGGTGTGGCAGTGAAGTGAGGATATGTCTGGCCCTGGTGTGGCAGTGAAGTGAGGATATGTCTGGCCCTGGTGTGGCAGTGAAGTGAGGATATGTCTGGCCCTGGTGTGGCAGTGAAGTGAGGATATGTCTGGCCCTGGTGTGGCAGTGAAGTGAAGATATGTCTGGCCCTGGTGTGGCAGTGAAGTAAGGATATGTCTGGCCCTGGTGTGGCAATGAAGTGATGA